TAAGCCATATCTAAGAGCGTCCCCTGATTCTATAGTGAGCTGCTCTTGCCACAGTGATGGTTTGCTCGAAATTAAATGTCCATTTAATTATCGAAATGGTTTAGGTAACTGGGAAATGGATAATAATTTCCCTATTGACTCATTTGGGACCATGAAGAAAAATCACAAATCAAGTTCAAGGTCAATTATATGTTCTAAATAAAGAATATTGTGATTTTTTTGTCTAGGCTCCAAATCATTATTTATTAATTCGAGTTACTAAAGACTTAGAGTTTATTGATGAAATGATGCCTTTGCTCTGGAAATATTTCATTGAATGTTTACTACCTGAAGTTGTTACACGCAAAAATGATGTATGTTTAGACAATAAGCAAAAGTATTACTGTACTTGTAAAAGACCCTGTTTTGAACCAATGATAGCTTGTGATAAACCAGGTTGTAAAGTTGAATGGTTTCATTATTCTTGTGTGAAAATTAAACGGGCTCCAGTTGGTCCATGGATATGCAACAGTTGCTCAAAATGAAATTATATTCAATATGATTCTGCATTTTAACACTGTTACTTTGCTGTTTGTAAATCTGTACTCCAACAAGGTTTATCGATTGACTACGGTTCCGGCAACGTTTCACTATTTGCTAATGTCATTCATCTTGTAATTTAGATGATCACTGCTGTTTAGTTAGTTAAAAAAGAAAAGTTTTAAAAACGGTTATTTTCATAGCCACATGTTGTTAAAATCATTATTCTGCATTTGAATTTTCATTTTTTTTAAACGATTTATTTGAATAATTAGATAATTGTTTACCATAATTTTTAAATACCTTAACATATGTTACTTTTTTTTTCTAATTAATTAAATTTTTTTTAGTTTTTCTTTCAACCAATCTTTGTTTGAAATGAGTAAAAGAAGTTTATAGGATACCATATGTACTCCTATAATACTCTAGGTACCTCTTAACAAATAGTTTATCGTTTTCCATTGAAAAATCTTTATTCCTGATTGAATAACGCAAACACTTAGTAAATTAAATCAACCCTTACTTTCATTCAATTTCATAAAGTCGCAATATGGTTTTGACAACAGTTTTATTTTTGTTGACTCAATTATATTAATATTGAGATTTTGTGCCAGGTTTTCATTAGTATTTTATTAAAAATAAAACAAATATGCCAGATGTTTGTTGCGCATTTGGTTGCAGCAACCGAAGAAGCACACAAAATAAAGGTTTAAGTTTTTATCGCATACCTACAATGGAAACAGAGCGAAAATCTCAACTTAGATTAAAATGGATTGCCGCAATTAGACGAGAAAAATGGTCAGAAACTGCAATTAAGAGTGCTCGGATATGTAGTGCCCACTTTGTAACAGGTTGATATTTTTTAAATTTTGGATTTTTACTAATCCAATTAAATATCGCATTTAGTTACTACTTTGCACACTTTCATGTCACTTTATGTGTGTTACTTATTTAGATATTTAGAAGCAAAAATTTAATTTTTTTTATACAAAAGAAATTTCATATGTTGTTTATTCTCACCATACAATATATAACGTGTATGAAAGAACTTGCGTGCTTTGTATGTTTTTTATACTAACATATAATATTCTATTGCTTTTTCTATTATTAGGAAAGAAATCTAATGATCCCCTTCATGTAAACTATGTACCATCAGTATTTTCATCCCATAAAATTGCTGAAAGGAGATCAAAAGCATCTGTTGAACGATATCGGCGATGTCTTCAACGTGGTTCTAATAAACAGAAAAATAATGTCACTAATTATAACACAAAGAAACCTGTCAATGTAAATAATTGTGAAAATGTATTATCCGAATTAAGTTCATCAGAATTAACGTTTGATTGCCAAGAACCGAACGAAAAAGGTTTAACTTCACTATGAAATTTTTTTATCGAATAATTTTATATTTTTTCCTTTGTTCAAACTTAGGAATTAAATGAGGGGTCATACCCTCTACGTCCCCGCAAACATAGCCTGTGCTATATAAATGATTGTTTATTGTGAGTTGAATTGTTGTTACCAAGTACTTCTCAGTACCAAGTACTATCTCAGGAAGAAGGAGGAGGGAGGTGCAAGGATCTTTGATCTTTTTAGTTATAAGTTAGTTATAATTTATTTTAGTTATAAGTTAGTGCAAAATGCCCCTTTTATTTTTATGGTAATCAAACATTTTAAACCCATGATATATCATACAGAGCATAATATTAGATCAATATAAATTTATTTAATTCAAAGTAAATTTATTTTTTATAAATGGATTTTGTAATTCGATCCTGCGATGAAAGTATACTTTTCGATTCTAAATTGTTCGGTTGTGAAATAATTTGATGATATTTTCGAGGATATATGTTTTCAGCCATATCATGTAGCACAGTGTAAAGTTTGTGTTCTAAAAATAGGTTTATGTAATTGATATTTGCACAGAAACAATCGAATTTCTTTAAAACTTAAATAGTTGTTAGATTGATATTCGGACAAACAAACATTTGTCTTCACCAAAACGTACGCTATGAACCGCGTCTTTCTTTTATATATATATATATATATATTATATATATATATATATATATATATTTATATATATAAAAAAATGAGTACACCTCCGTCTTGCTTTTTTATCTTTCGCGCTAAGACAAACTATTTGAAGTTTCTTTTATAAAAGAAGCTTTCAAAACTGTTTTTCAAACTCCTAATGTTAATATGAACAGCATTAAAATGACGTCAGTCTAGAAATTCTCTTTGCTCTTCTCAAAGCAACTTACAAAAACAATTTATTAATTGCGAATTAGGAATGTTTATAGACCGTTTACATAAAACTTAAGCGTGTTTGCTTTTGAAGTCAACTCAAAATAGAAGTAAAAGATTCTTTTTGAATTTTAAAATATTCCCATACGTCTAATAACCATTTTTATATTTCTGATTACTATTACAGCGTATTTGTTACTCATTGTTATGTCTACATCTGCGTGACTAGTTGTTATGTCTGCGTGTCTGTGTTTTTTATTGGTTAATTTATAGTACTAAGTACAGTTATACAGGGGTCTGGTATCAAACATTATTTCACAATAAAATTTACGTAAGAGCTATTTTAACATACATTTTTATTAAATAATCGTTTATATTATACATTCTTTGTAGACTTTATTTAGCTTAAGGTCTTCCAACCAGAAACTATTCTGTATGACTTTGACATTTATGAAATTTTTAAAAAATTCTTGATTTATTTAAAAAACTTAACGTTAAAATGTTTTCACCATGTAAAATTAATTAAAATGTCAAACAAACGGTTTTAAAAGAAATTACAACAACCATCAATTCAATAATCGTCTCGCTTTATTAACCGCCATGTGGTAAGCAAATAGAGTTTCTTAACAACCTAAGGGATTGTTCATAGATTACGCAACGCTAAACCTATTTAAAAAATAGTAGTAAGAGATCATTTGCTATTTTGCGCGGTGTTTTTCATTGCAGTTGAACCGCTTTTTCAATTTTGATTTAATTATAGACTCTACGACGGAAAACCATTTTGTTTTGTCTGTTAGGGATAGTCCGTAAATTACGTAACGCAAACTTTCACAATAAAAGATTAAAAATTTTCCCTAGCAGAGTCTTAATCTAAATAAAAAATCAAAATAGCCCATTAAGTTTAATGAAAATTGCCGCGTAAAAGAGTCTAATATCTCCTACTTCTGTTTTTAAAATATATTTTGCGTTGCGTAATTTATGGACGATCCCTTAGGAACGAATAAACTGATTATTTTTTTTTCCTTTATCTATTCCTGTAGATGCTACAGTCAATCCTTTATCTGGCGGATTGTTCCAGATACATCGTTACATTCCAAGAAAGGTTTCTAGAAAACCAAGGTCTTCATTAGATATTAAAAAATGGAAATCAACTGAACTTTTCTAGTAAACACTGGGCCATATGTTTAAAGGGAATGGTTAAGCCAAACATTTATTCAAACTTTTTAGGTTTTTCAGTTGCAGTTCTAATTTCATAGTGTTTTATTTTGTGTTATTATGTGTTAATATGTTAATTTTGTTAGTTGTGCTAATATGTTAATTTTGCTGGTCAGCTACTTATTTTGTGCAGTTTTATTGGTGAATTTTATTGTAAGGATCAACTAGTTTACAATGTCCATTCATTAGCACATATAGGAAATAATACAGTTAAAGTTTAAGTACTTGATAGATATTCAAATATGAAAATTTTTCAGGTCAATTAAAAAAGCTTGTTCAAAGACCAAAGGGTTGCTCAAATAAACACGTACAAGAAGATAAACAGAAGTTTAGTATTCCTTATTTTGATGGTAGTAATCATTGCATTAAGACACTGTTTACAGTTATCAAGGTTTAGAGTGTTTTGTTTCAGCTAATGAAAGTGATAATTGTTTTGAAATTACAAAAAAAAAATGGTTGAGGTAAAAAGGTTTTAAAAAGCAGACAAATCTTATAACAAGTAGGTTATGTTTAAGGAATTTGCAACTTTTTAGTCGTATTATATATAAGCAGAGCTTTGTCTAGGGGGCTCATTTGCAAGTTTCGGGGCCCTTTTACAAATGTAAGGATTTTTTTTTTATTTATTGCTAAAGTTTTTTAAAATTTTGGGGGCTTTATGACAGGTTTTTATTTTTTATGGTAGGGGGGCTTGTATCTAGTAGCCACGGCACTGTATATAAGGTGTATACAATATATATCAAATTATATACAATATAAATATAAAATTATATTTATTTAATAGTTTTATATAATTTATTTATCAGTAACTAAAGGAATGTTATCAATTTATTATATGAATCATAAGCATGTGCTTATCTATTACAAGTACATTTTAAAACGTTGAAATAAACGTCGATTATAAAATTAAAGGTTATGTTTTTTTAACTTCGATGGTAAGAATTACATTTTTTATCTGAAGAGTGTTGGGAGAAATCGTAAGAGTATTATAACATATTAAAAATAATGTATGTAAAACTTATAAAATTTAAAACTAATAGTTAAATTTAATTATTTTACAGCTCATATTGAAACGAGATTTGTGTAAAGAGGTTTTCAAAGAAATCGTTTTAACAACAATGGAAAAGCTTCCAATTCCCGTGAAAGCATTCGATGCATAATTAAAGAATTGTTTAAAAGTTTGCATAATTTCGACAGTGTAATTTTAATTACTACTTTTTTGAAATAAACCAATCAAGTTATATATAAATTTGCTTTTTCTGTAAATTTTAAACATTTAAACTTAGTTTTGCAAGATTTGCAATGGGTAAACCTCGTGGGACCCTCAAGGGATACCCGGCGGGCATACCCATATGGGCCCCATAGGAAAACCGCGGCCAAGATCCGGCGGGTTCCTGATGGGTTTCCCATGTGGGTCCCATTTGCAAACCCAAATGGGCCCCTTACGGTATTAAAGTACGGGATTTGACTGGGACCCATACTTGATACCCGGCGGGCTCACCCATATGGAACCCTTATGTAGACCGCGGCCATAATCCGGCGGGATCATGGCCGCGATATATTGTTTATCTAAAGTTTCTTTGGAAAATCTTAACCAAATTTCACTTCTAAAAAACGTACAGGTGTTTGTCTTTTAATGTTAGTTTTAATAATTAGGAGGCTGGTTAGAAGGTTGGTTAGGATAAGAGGTACTTTTACTGTTTATTTTGGTTTGTGAAATTTTTTTTTTTTTTTTTTTTTTTAATTTTGCTTACATTAAAATGTCAAAGTACAATTATATATGCTATATATATCGTGTTACAATTAAATTCGTGTTAAAACATTTATCAACTAAATTAAAATAAGAAAAAACACGGACATACATATATAAATATAAGCATATATACACATACAAATGCGTAGATGCGCACAATCATAAACTGCTTACAATGAAACATAAGCTAGGATCTGAAAGAAGATCAAAAGATCTTTTCATCAGAACCTTATAAAGCACAAATAAGCAAAATAAATACCAGTATAAGATACTAAAAAATAAAGTAAAAATTAAAATAAAGAAAAAACTGAATTCAAGTTGTATAACAATTTTCAAAACATTGAAGTATCTGAGTATATTATCAAGTGAAATAATACATTTTTTTAGATTGAGCTTGAAAAGGTAAAGGAAGTTGGTAAATCAAAATTCTGCAAGACTATATTATTCCATAGGTAGGGTCCACGATAAGCAATGCAAAATTAATTAAATTTTGTGTGACAAAATGGTTCTTTTAAAAAGTTTATGTTTCTCATATCGTATTTGTTGTTAGGTTTGAGTTTGAAAGTATTATTAAAAACGGTAGGGGATTGATTATTTCTCCATAGATATACAAAACATAAAACTTTAAATACATTGAGTTCAAATAAATTTAACAATCTCATTTCAGTAAAAAGAGGTTTTGTGTGTGTAAAACGATCGGTATAGTTAATTATGCGGATCGCATGCTTTTGACGACGATAAAGAAGTTTTAACTTACTTTTTACAGTACTCCCCCAAGCAGTGTTGGCATAATTTATGTAACTGTGGATAAAAGAGTAATAAAGTTGTTTTAAGCAATTTTTATTTAGGTAGTTACGAGCTTTATATAGAATCCCAATGTTTTTTGAAATTTTGGTAGATATATAATTAATATGTTGATTCCAGGAGATGTTTTCATCAAGATAAACACCTAAGAATTTTGTAACGGAATCATTTTTTATTTCAATTTCGTCAATAAAAAGTTGCGGCAAATTTATTGGTAAAAATCGCTTTTTTGCATGCGAATGGAATAGAGTCCATATGGTTTTATTAATATTTAAAGTTAGCTTATTACATTTAAACCAGTTTGATATATGTTTTAATTCTTTATTCATAGTAGTAAAGAGTTCGTATATATTACTGTTTGAGAGGAATAGATTGGTATCATCTGCGTACATAATGCTTATAAGGTTAGAAGCTTTATTCAGATCATTTATATATATCAAGAAAAGTAGGGGCCCGAGGATTGAACCCTGAGGAACACCGCAGACGATATCAAGACAATTATTTTGATAGCCGTCGTTACTAATTACAAATTGTTTTCTTTTTGTTAAATAGCTTCTAAACCATTTTAAGGCAATACCATTAATTCCATAATATTCAAGTTTTTGAAGCAGAATGTGATGATCTACCGTGTCGAAAGCTTTTGATAGGTCAATGAAGATACCTAACAAGTACTGTGATTTTACAAAAGATTTTGAGATTTCATGCACAAACTGGATTATTGCATGCTCTGTTGAGTTATCTTTTTTAAAACCAAATTGTTTGTTGTACAGTAAGTTATTTTTGTTGAGATGTTTGTATATTCTATTAGACATTATTCTTTCTAAAAATGGGTCGATAGTTGCTAATATTTGATCTGTCACCTTCTTTAAAGATAGGAGTAACTTTAGCAACTTTTAATTGTTCTGGAAAAATTCCTTGATTTATAGAAGCTCTAAGAACTTTAAAAAGAATATGTTTTAATATATCGAAACAATCTAAAAGTACGTTTCCATTAATTTCATCTGCTCCTGTTGCTTTGTTTCTTTTCACAGAATTCAAAGCTACTTCAAATTCCTCAAAAGATAATTCTGAAGATAACTCATCAGAGCAAATGCAATTATCCATAGGTACGAGAAAATCATTAAAAGAAGCCGTCGTATTTGATAAGGAAGGACCTATCCCAATAAAAAATTTATTAAATTCATGGGATATGGCTCTTGGGTCATATAAACTTATGTTATCAACTTTAATCATCTGCGGCAGAAAACCTAAGCACGATTTTTGTTTTCCAGTAATTTCTTTCATAATTTGCCATGTGCGTTTCAAATCGTTTTTAAATTCAGTTCCTTGAACATTCAGAGAACTCTTTGTTGCATATAAACCGCTCATTTATTTAATTTACTACTTCTTTTACTACTCGAAAATGTGTTTCAATATTTTTTTGAGAATAGAAAAGAGTTCTCTGCAAATAGAATATATCTTGAGAATAGAGTGGAGTTCTCTGCAAATAGAATATATCTTGAGAATAGAGTGGAGTTCTCTGCAAATAGAATATATCTTGAGAATAGAAAAGAGTTCTCTGCAAATAGAATAAAACTTTTAAGGATTTGATGTTAAAAATTTATTTATTGTAAGAAAATTAAAAGCCCTATGATTGAACCCTGTGGAACTCTACAAGCTAAGTATTTCTGATTATTTCTAGATTTTTATACTATACGTATTGTTTTTTGCTTGACAAGTTTTAAACCAAGTTTATATATACCATATTTACCATAATGGTAAATTTTATTAGGACGAAATGATTTACGGTGTCAAAAACTTTGAAGATTAATGAAAACTCATGCCGGATCTTTTTATTGATAATATATTCATAAAAAGAAAAAAAGATTATCAATTTTATATGAGTATATTTTTAGAGGTTTTTATATTATTAGTACCTATACTAAAGTTGCTAAATGTATTGGAGTTATTTGAAAAGAAACAAATATTATAGATAAACAACTGGTAACCCTGGTAACACAATTATTGTACTTATTCATTCATTGACATAAGTTTTAGTAATCATCTCTCCGTAAACAACGTTACTTATAGAGGGATGATGAATACTAAAATTTACAGAGGTTCAAACCTCTGGGTCGAATTAGGTTTGAACTGTGATGCACAGTTAGAATTAGAATTCTGGCTCAGAGGTTTAAGGTTCAACGCCAGCTCGAGCCTAGTAAGCGACACTGGTAAGGAAGGCAGGCGTGATATCCTAGTTAAATGCTCTTCCGCAGTTCTCTGCGATAAGATCTTAAAGACTTTTAGGAGCATGTTATAATCACAATAACAACAAAAAAATTGATACCTTAATCAGAAACATGCGACATGAGCAATAAATTTTAAAGGCTTTTCTCACACAAAATGACTTTTTAAATAAATGAATGATTTACATTTTTATCAACTAAATAATTCCCAATTTAGCAAAAAGGAGAACACCTATCCCGGAAAAAAAGTTTTATAGAATTTCTATAAACTTTTGAAACGTATGGCCTATAGAAATTCTGTAGAATTTCTATAGAATTTCTATAGAATGTTTATTAATTTTATAGAAATTGAGATATAATTTTTCTTTTTATAGAAAGAAAAGTAGAAAAAAATTTCTATAGAATCTCTGTTAAATTCATTAGAAATTCCTATAGAAATTTTTTTCTACTATAGAAAGAAAAGTTATATCTCAATTTCTATAAAGTTCTATAAAATTTTTATAGGCGTTTTAAAAGTTTATAGAAATTCTATAGAACTTTTTTTCCTGGGAAGACTTTTTTTATTAATTGACTTCATTTATCCAGAAGTTTCATAAAAACTATTTTCTTAACAGAAAATACCTTCATTTGATGTTGCTTTTTTTGTTTGTTTGTTTGTTTTCGCATATTGTCTCGATGACTAGTTGTTGTCTCGTTGAAGAACTTAACTAGTTGTTAAGGCTTTATGTATAGAAATAAATAATTATTTCATTAGGAACATGTCAATTTTATTAAAACCATATTTTATAAAGGCTTTTATGATAAAATCCTTGTGATCTTGTTAAAACCCTGCCATTACTATTATAAAATGTAAAACAAATCTGCTTAAACAAATAACTAACTAAATATCATTGTAACTATTTTTAAGCGGCAAAAAAAAAAAAAAAAAAAAAAAAATTTATAAATAAATAAATATTAGTTTAGTTGTTAAACAAAGTTTACCAATAAGTATTTATTTATAACTTCATCAACAATAATGAAAAACACTTATACTTATCCTTGCGTAACAGGGATTTTGTAGTGCAAAGTCTATTATGTGTTAAATTATTTAATATAGCTAACAATAACGCGCGGTTCTGAAAACCGCGGTTTAATGTCATCCAAATCGCATCGACTCAAAGTAATAAGGTATCGATTCTAAATAATTATCAATTATATATAAAATTCTTAAAACTCATAGTTATAAACTAATTATTAAAAAAGAATTGAATAATTGTTAAAAAATAAATAAAGCTCTAACAGAGTTTACATTTTTATATAATAAAATTTTAGTAGCTTTGGCTCGTCGTTTTTTTAAACATTTTTGTTTATTTACTTCTACTAATTACATAACATTTTAATTTTTTTCATTATTTATGCCAAATAGAAGATATATATTTTTATATAACAATATTTTCAAAGGCGCTTTTAATATCCATGAGACGGTTCAAGGGTGCACTGAATAAATGCATTTTATGCTTACATTTTTGTGAAGGGTCAGATGTACTAAATCCAAAGCATTCTAATCCGTCTGGATGAGTTACAATATTCTCTAAACTTTCAAATGAAAATGTTCTGATTGTGTAATTGTTCTGATTGGGATCGGTCATTGTTATACCCTTTAAGTTTATTTCTAGACCAACTAAGCTGCCTCCGATGCATTTTGTGTTACTTACTAATTTTCCTCCTTTTGCCATTTCTTTAAGAAACTGCTTATAACATTTTCGTATATGTTTCGACTTCAATGGCGGAGTTATAATTGTTGAACATATATATTTGACTTGAAACTTATACTCTTTAAGTTGAGGTTTTGCGTACAAAGAAAATTCTTTTGAAGGCTCTGTATCAATAGTTGGAGTTTCGCTAGGCAGTACCAAGCTTCTTCTAAATTTTTCCATTAACTTTGTTGGTTTAAATTTCTTTTTACAGTCTTTGTTGAATTTCATTTCTGTTGGAGAACTCATTATCTATAATTGAGTTGTAAAATTAAGTATATTAATATATAATTAAAAATAATATTAATACTAATATTTTTTAGTATTTATTTCCTTGTGAAAATAAATACAAAACATTTTTAAAAAATGTCAAACAACTTAGTCTTGTTGCCGTCAAGTATCATCAGTTTTGGTCATGTTACCTTACCATCATTAAAAGAGCAAACAATGAGGTAGTAACAGTCACCCGCGACAATGAGAAGTGTTTTTTATTACAACAATTTGAATTTTAGACCTATGGTTTAAGATTCAATTGTTCTAATAAAAAAGTTAAGCACTCAAACCATTAAATCACGACAATAATGACTAACATTAGTGGACCTAGAGTTCTACTTCGTTGTATTTTAGCGAAGCAAAAAAATTTCAAAAATTTTAAATAAAAGTTAGAACTTTTTTTTAATTTTTTCTTTATCCTTTAAAAAATGCGCATGCGTAATTAAATCTAAATGCGCATGCGTAATTAAATCTACTACTTTCAAATAGTCTAGTACTTTAAAATCATTTTACTTTTAAAATTTGCATTAATTATTTTATTACCTTTTGTTTATCTAAAGTTTAAAACTACAACAAGTACCTTGCTTCTTTAACACTCTGTGTTCTCGTTTGTGTTATCTCTCTTTCTCCCTCGTTTTAGCCTCTCTTTCTCCATAAAATCAAAATTATTTGTATTCCCATTTATAGGACTCAAAGACAAGTCACTAACATTTATTTTTTTTCCTATAACAACAAAGTAACTAAATTTACACTTACTTGATCTGCACAATACTCTAATGACTTGTAGGAACTTTGCTCACCAATACCGCTATCTAATCTTTGAAGAGGTTTTAATTGGTGGTCTGGAACTGTAAATGACGTCTCTTCAGATTCTGTGTTAGTATTCAAAAGATGACTATCACTTAACGTTCGATCGCTTAAGCTAATGGCTTCTTCAGTACACGTTGTATTGTTTTTATTGCATAAGTTAGATACTTCAACTGATATATTTGAAGAACGATAAGTAGAATTTGAATTAAGTGAAGAATAAGAGCCACTAAATGTTGAATATTGTTCACTATATACGGGACTAACCTGTGATGTCTCTTTTGGAGAGTATGTTTTTTGAGAAGATAACGAAATAGCCTCAACAACTTGCGTTGCGGAATGATTTCTTGATGCACGATATACATGGCAAAAACATTTTGTTTTTCCGTTTGTTCCGGATTTGCTTAATACATAACCAAAGTATCGGTAGTCTTTACTAAATATACCTAAAGATAATATCCAAGAAATATAATGACATTGCTCTTCTCCTGTAGAAGCATCAATCACTAAAATATTTGAACCAAGAACTTCCAAGCTGACATTTCTATAGTCTTTTGGATTTACTTTGTTTAAAGCAATTTCTATATATTCGTTCACATTAGGAAAACATTTTTTAACAGCAACGCTTCCAATTTTTACGATGTAATGAAAACGATGAAACTCGGGCTGTATCATGCCAAACTGAAGATCGTAAAGACTTTTTGAACTTGAGACCTTATATTGAGGTAAAAAATAATTCAGAATGTATTACTACAAAAAAATATTATAGACTCAATGCAATATGATTGAGTATAATAAGAAATAAATACACAAGTAAAAAAAGATAACTACTTTGGTTGTAAAATTATACCTTAGGACAGGTTTGAAATACATTCATTATTGCGTCGTATATCTCGTTTGCTTTTTCTGTATGTAAAACGTAGCATCGGGCTTCGTTTCCTGTTTTGCAAGCAATAATTCCAAAAAAAAAAGCATTTTTAAGCACGACTTCAAAACTAACAACTTCATCAATGGCAAAAGTAACCAATAGGTCCCAGGACGTTACTGCGGTTCCAAAGCGAATAAATTCGCTTGTGACCTCTACGTACACTGGTTTCATTTCTAACACGTTTGTATTTTGAGCTACGGTACTAACTGCAGTGTCCACACTTTCTTTGTTAACATTAGATACTGTGATGTTTCCAAGATAATGGGCTGGATAATAATTTAACCCACCAAACGAAGAACTGTTTGTCCAAGTAGAATAGCGTTCGGCTCGTTTACCATATTGATTTACGCAGGAAGGGCTTAATGAATTCGATGCAAATGAGGATACTTCACTTGATTGACTACTGCATATGCTACTTATTGGTGAGCTGGTTGGATACGAAACTCCGTTAAAGTCTATATGAGAGTAATGGAGTTGTTCGCTGTTTTCAGATTGAATAATATCTATTGGATGACTTGTTGATCTATTTCGCAATCCATCGTAATCCGCCGGCAAATCCACAACATTTTTATATACGCCGTCATCGGAATCTTCGTTATTGCTGAAATTTTCATACAACTTGTAAACATTACTTACGTTACTATAAACTGAAGTTCGTTTTTGTTTGTTTTTATTATTTTTTGTGTTAATAGGGGAAAAACATTGCAGATTGACATATTTTATTACGTCTTTATCTCCTTCAATGTAAGATGATCTATGTAAAGTGTTGCTTCTTCTATGTCTTGCGTTCAAATGTTCATGTCGAGTTTTGCAAGTATCTTTTGTAGATAGCTGCGAAGAATTGTTTATTGGTGATGTATTTTCTCCAAAACTTAAGTTATGCAAAGAATGAGCTCTTCTAATAATAACTGAGTTTTCGTCAAAATCTTCTCTTAGAATAAGATTCTCAGATTGCCTGGTTACTCGAGATTTTGTTTTCTCAGTAATCTTTTTACGAGTGACAATTTCTGTGTAAACTGTTTCATCTTCTCTGCTTGAGTTTCTTATATAATTTTGTTTAATTTTTTTATTGACGTTGCTCTTATTATTATCAATTTGTTTTTGCTCTTCTGAGTTGCTTGAGTACGTGGAAACGGAGCTAGTAGAGCTGGTACTTTGATGATGAACCTTCACTGAACTCCTGGGTGTTACGCTAACATGTTTTTTATCTAATATTTCGATTGAATCTTTTATCTCGTTAACTGTTAAGGTATTGTTAGTGTTTATATTTTTATCTAAAACTATATTTTGTTGGTGATTTTGATCACTTGAAGTTTCGCATGATTTGTTCATTTCAATATAAATAGGGTCAGGTATAGCCTCTTTGTACTTATTGTTACATTTGTTTTTATGGTACTCTGAATCAATTTCCTCGTAAAAACTTTCTCGGAACATTTTATTAAACAACTCAGCTCAGTAAAAAAAAAAACCTTTGGTAGCTACAACATTACTTTTCATAACACAATCACACTTTCCTGATAATGTGCACAATACATTCATTTATTTAAAATCTTACACGGTGTGTACAGAATTTCAAAGTTGAAATAGTGTTTAACTACGCAGCTACAAGCAAACAAACATTTATGTGTAGGAAATCCATTTCATAACTGATTTTGTTGACAATTGCATTGTAGTAGACATAACTATTTCCTTTTTGAAGTGTTTGTGTAACAACATGTATATATATATATATATATATATATATATATATATATATATATATATATATATATATATATATATATATATATATATATATATATATATATATAAATATATATATAAACAGTCAAACAAATATATTTGTTTAAAAGTTTTTTTGAACAATATTCAAAAGAACTGTTAGCGAAAAATTCGAAATAAATTTTTAAGTGCAGACACAGGAAATAGTTTGTGCCGAAAACAATCAAAACATTTATTAAATCCACTTCAAATTTTCCATTTTCTAATAATTTTTTTTCTGTTTCCGCTAACAATAAACAATTTACTCCACATTACTTAAATAAACTGGACTAACTAAGGGGTAATATTTTTTTACGAGAGGTGTTTAGTCATATTGTTAGAAAAACAACCTTACAATATTTTTACCCTGATATAATGATTACCCTGATAATTACTGTAGTAATATTAATAGGACTGGCACTAGAGTGATATAAATGACTCTAGTAATAATGGAGATAAACTCGGATATATCAAAACATTCAGTAATGTTTAAAAAGGCGTTTAAGACAACTCATCTTTAGATAATCTTTAAAAAAATAACTTGAGGATTTCTTAAAAAATAAAGAACTTGAGGATTGTTAAAAAAAATAAAGATCTACAGAAAGAAGATATTTTATCAATTAAACTTTTATTTTGTTAAAATATTTAATTAAATCTGGTCAAAGACCACCCAATTCTTGCGTGTTTTCTAACTTATTTCAATAAGTTTATTGTTGTTTTTATAAGCAAAATTTTATAATATCAAGGAAATCAAAAAATCTATTATTTCGTTTTGTTAAATCTTATTTTTCATTAGTAATTTTATTCCGGTAATTTATAATATTATTGTATATTTTCTGGCACTCTAATCCCCAACGTATGCAAAAAACGTGATGTAAAAAAAACAAACAAAAAAAAAAACGTGGTGTAAAAAAATAAAAACGTGATGTAAAACGGTAGAATAAGTCTCAATCAAAACTCGGAATTTCGCTCCAATAAATAAAACTATTTTTTATCTAAAAAATGTAATTGGAACTCAGAAGCAAAAATATGTCTAAACAAACAACACATTTTTACAGTACTCAGAGAAGAACTAAGGGTATTGTCAAAGAGCACCGGACAGAAGGGCACTCAACGGGATGGTTTACGTAGCTCTCCTTGTCAAGTTCGCTTATATGACCAAAGCAGACATCGAATTCTCCGTTTTTTAAGGCAGCGCTTTATCCAATATTTTCCAAAAATGAAATCAATTTAAAATGATTGGTATTTTAAAAAAAATATGGAATTTAGTGTAATATTTAATTTCGCTTCTATTTTTGAGATTTATTGTAAATTAATTTTTTTTAATGAATGAATTTGCTTTAAATGCGCGAAGTATTAATAATGAACGAATTAAATATTTTTTCTAAGTACTTTTGTAATAACTGTTCTGAGAAAATTTTTATTTTCAAGTCAAAATGTTTTAAAGGACAGAATGTTTTAAAGAACAGTGGGGCAGAACTGCTTTTAAATTGGACATTTGACAAAAATAAAAATGACGTTATGAAATATTTTTGGTGGTAATGTATAGTAGAGTCTCTGGTCCATCTTATCCATTTGTTTTTTTTTTTTTGAGGATAGGACTGATTTTTAACCCTGTAGATCCCATAATCTAGCTCAATTTTTTTGTTTAAAAAATAACTTGCCTGCGCGAATTATTTGCACTACTTTGTTTTTATAGTGTTAAAGCTGAATTTTGTTAAAAGTTACACATTTTTTTCAGGGATTCTTCAACTTTAGGTTTGCAGCTATGTTTTGCTAATGATAAAATATTTTCAAAGTGACTATATTATTAGGTCTTTAAAAAAAGTGCATTTAAAATATTCTATTTTTATTTAATATATTCAAACAATGCGCTTTTAGTTTATGTCCTCACTTAGTTACAGTTTCAAATTTATTTTTTAAGAAATTGTTGATGATTATAGAGTGTAAAACTTTTTTTTTGTTGTTGCACTTATTGAGGCCTTTGATGTTTATTTGTTTCAATCTAATAATTAAAACTAGTGTCAAAAGTAAATTTAGTGTCAAAAAACATCAGTAGAAACCAAGTCATGAACATATGAACTAAGACGTTCTTTTTTGTTTTTAGCAAACTTAAACGAATAAAACTAATCGAGTTTTTCAGTAACTTTTATAAGTGACTTTTTACATTATATTCGAATTACTGTAATTTATTTTAGCGAATCAATTAGAATACGTTTTAATATATTTATTCATTCAAGCTTTTGATTTTTTTCTTTTTTCTATTATCACTTACCGATTTTTTATAAAACTATACTCAAAATTACTCGAAAATACATTAAAAACGTCTGACAATTGTAAATAAATGTTTAAAAATCTATGGAGTAATTTTTTCCTAAGCCTAAGAAGTGCCCTTAAAACAATTATTTACCTTAAAAATTCAATACAAAAAAAAATTACTTTTTTCCAGTTTTATAGCTATTCTGCCCCCTTCTGTAGGACACACTCTGGGACGCACCATCAAAAAACAATCTAATCATAAAACTAAATTCATTTTATGCATAAAATATTTTAATTATACAAATGTTTTATACAATGCATTTTATACAATGTATACTTTAGATATATAAAACACATACCAGAAAGTTTAAGATTGTTACCTGTTTTAGATTATTTGAATTAAGTAAACTAAATTTAAATAATGCAGCGTTGCGATCTACAACGTGGCAAACGTTGTGCACGAAAAAAAAAAATTGTCTGAGATAATACAATTATACTTTAGCGTTACTTTATAAAAATACTTTTTATTTTGTACCATTATTGTCTTTTACCATATTTTGATAGATTTAGCATGTGCAAGAAGTATTTAACGGTATATTTAAATGATATTTCCTATAAAAAGCCTCGTTGATTATTTAAGACAAAACAAGATTGGGCACGTTACAAACAGTCCTTTTATCTGACTTGTTCACCTAAAGACTATCTAAACAATGGTTATTGACTTCAGACAACTAAGCTAATTTTAACCTGACTTTTAAATAAACAATGAAAACAATCAAAGCGTGTTTCTTAAACCAAATAAACAAAATTGTATAAATAATAAGTTTTCAAAATGACAACATGAATGGGATTTTATATTCATGAAAGAAAAAAATTTCAAAGATAAAAATTTAAAAGTTTAAAAAAACCCTAATTAGTCTGAAAAAACCCTATTTAGTCTGATTATATTTATTGATGTTTAAGACATGCTTAAAATTTTATATAATTGTAGATAGTGTTCAAGCTGTCAAATTGTAGATAATGTTCAAGCCAAGGAAAAAAACCATCTGGCAACTGCTCTTTTTTCCCTTTACAACTTTTTAAAATATGTTCATTCATTTTACTACGGAATGACCACATTGCCGACACAGCTTGCCGCATATGGGTGACGCATATTACCGTAAGCACAATGATTAAGTATTATTGACATAGAATGGTAACCACATTTATTACTGTATATTGCTGACACGTATTGCCGATCAACATAACAACTATGCCAACGCATATTGCTGACTCAGCGATTGCCTTTGAAAAATATTATTTAAAAAATGATCTTAAGCTATATTTAAGTTTGAGATGTTTTTTTAAAAGTTAATTAGAAAGTTAAAATAAAATAACACTTAAGGCGTTTATTTAGGTGAAAACAGGTCAAGATCGCTTTTCATATAACAACTCAACAAAAAAACCTGTACATGGGCGAAAACCAAACTGTGTTTACATCTTGTATTTTAAAGCGCCGATTGTTTTTTTTTTCATATTTTAAACACAATTTTATATGCAAATGAGACCCTGTTGTATTGACTGGGGATCAAAAGCTAAGCAACGATCCTAGATAATAGGATTTAACCTACATAAATTTTTTATTTTAAGTTAAATGGTATTTTTTGAATTTGCACATTTTTTATAACTTACACTATATGACAACTGTGCGATTCATCAATTTCACCAGTCTAGCCGCAATCCTGTCAAATATTATTTTTAAGAGAGATTTTTACCTTATTCTAAAAACCAGATTTTGAAAAGGTTTTAAATGTTTGTTCAATGGTTTATACGCTATAATCTTATTATTCTGTAGTCTCATTAACACATTTCTCTTAACATGTGCATAAAATAGAACTTATCTCAAATTGTATAAAAAAATAGTCACCAGATATGTATATTTCACAAAGTATATCTTTTAATAGGTATATTACATGCAATAAAATAAAGCTGTAAATACATTTTGAATGTTAGATATTTTATTCAAAAAATAATATTGTCCTTGATTTTAATAAAAAATCACAAAATTTACTAGGCGGTAATTTTTCACCGGTTCATAATTTACTGGTAAATTTTACCTCCGCAACAATTCTATTCAACATTGATATATCTTTTTTATTTTTATTTAGGTGCCCCAAGAAGTCCTTACGGTCTTATCACAGAGCACCGCGGATGAGTAATTAATTGAAAATTGACACCTCCTTCCTAACCGATATCGTAAAACTATCCTAGAGGTGGGGTTTAAACCACGGCTGCTTATAGGTATAGGTCTACTTTATTCAAAATAAATAAGTTAAACAAAATTAATTATAATTATATATAAAAGTATAAACTATAATATATATACTATAAAAGTATCAAATATTAACAACAAGTTATTGAAAAAGCCATGACCTTGTCACAAAATAAAAACACCAAGTTATTCAGCAAACCATAATCTAGTTGCATAAATACTAAGTTATTGAATAAGTCATGACCTTATAATATATGCAGAATATAAACACCAAGTTATTGAAAAAGCCACGTATAAGTAAATATAAGTCATAACAAGTATAAATGTTGGGAAAAAAAGACAAAAATTAATATCACTTTTGATCATGTGATATTCAGTTTAGATTTAATAACTTTTTAATTTTTCTCATTGAAATTT